TATTGTAGAGCTAGTGTTCTTTGTATAAAAAGCAGTGGAACAGTGGGAACTTCTTGTGATAACATGAACATGCTTCTGCTATACCTGTACAGTAGAAAGGCTTTTCTAGGGAGTTAAAAGAAAGCCCATTTCAGAAGATGGGAAGAGTGACAATTCTCCTTTATTTTTTGCAGTCTTATATAATTTTAATTGGTGCATACAAATGTGACACCAGGAACCTTCCCAAAGTGAAGAGATGCTATATACAAACAATATAATTTTTTCTTGGGAGAACTATAAAGTACTAATATGTTCTACAGTACTAAAATACTTAAAGTGTTTTAAAAGAACATATAAAATATGAAAGTGATACTTGTAAGTGCAAATACATTTATGTAAAGGAGCAGCTATACAATAAATATATATATAAGTCAGTCAGAAGGTAATCCTATTTTTTCTTCAGCTAAGCATTATTGAAAAAATAGTAAACCTGCACAGAAAATATGTACATAATCACTGAACACACAGCTATTTTTCCATACTCTGTCAGTGGTATTTTTCCACTGTTGAACAAAGGTATGTATCCCAACTTCATAAAACTCATTGTCCTTGCTGTGTAGTCACTGTCACACAGCCTCCTCATTTTACTGTCGTTTAAAAAATGTTGCCCTCAGTCCATCCTGTATGGAGGATGAGGTAGCACAGTCTATCCAGACAATAAGATTGCCTTTGTATTATATACACTGGTGCATAGGTGAGTGTTGTGCAAAAGCAGCATCTCAGCCATGTCTCTGTTGGGATGAGTTCTTTGCATGTAATTTTTAGTTTCTTTAGGACCTTGACATAGACCAATGAGTTGACCCCCTTTTGACTGACCCTTGTACAATATCAGTTGTATCATTGTAAATCCAGAGTAACTCTACTGAAAACAATATACTCTGGATTTACAGAGGTGTAAGTAAATGAGGACTTTAAGTTTTTGTCTTTGGGGTTTTTTTTCCTTCCCTCATTGGAAAGAAATTGGGCAGATGGTATTTCAGCTCTTCTAAGAGCTGCTGCAGAGAAATGTTCTGTGGGTGTGCAAAAATAAGCTACAGGACAATTTGCAATTTATTGCAGCATTGCAAAATCTAAAGTAATAGTCCTCTTATATATGGTAAGGAAGTTAGGTAGGACAACATATTAATATAGGAAGAATACTAGAAAGAAAGTGAAATGTCAAATTGACTAGTTCCCATGTAAATCCACTTGTGTGTGAATAAAAGATAAATTGTTGTTTTTCTCAGTAATATTAAATTGTGTATGCATTAAGTTGTGTTAAAAATAAACATATTTGCAGTTTTTTCTGGTTAGGAAGCTGTGTTAATATGCAAATACAGCATTAAGAATTATTTGCATATTACTGTACAAAATATTCTGACACAGTTATAGCATTTTGTGGTCTTTTCTAATGGGTAGTGTTAATTTTGGAGCCTATTTGGGCTTGGAAAAACTACCCACTGTATTAATAGGTGCCAGCTGTGAAGATAAGCCACTGACAGCTGCTTAAAAATACTGCTGTTTTTTCACACTGATTTTATTTAAAGATACTAATTGCATAGGTTCATGTTTGCTGTTGCAAGCTAAAAAGGGGAAAAAAAAAAACTTTAGTCTGCTATTGTAAAATATATATATTGTAAAATATATAACTGATGAAGTAGGTGGTCTAGTAGCATAAAATATTTTCCACCTTAGTCTTATTTTGAGGCCCAGCACTCATTATCACTCTTCTTCATAAGATTTGTGACAGGAAAAAAAATGCAGGACATCCTTTGTGGATTCTGCAACTCCTTTTGGATATTGTTTCTGCTGGGGGGGGTTTGTTGTAGTTGTTGTGTTTTTACATTTCTTCACTCAGGCAAATTCTTGAGTGCAGATTGATTCACAAAGACTACAAAAAAGAGTCTCCATTACAAACCTACCAAGTGAATAGTCTAAGCGAATTCAAGTTAAGCATTCTGAAAGAAGCCTGATGTGAAATCCTTCAAGGTTGTTGGGAGTTGAAAGCTGTTCTGTAAATAATTTCGAAAGTAATTTCCTTAGATTATCAGAAAGTTAATGCATCATACCTGGGGCCAAAAGTAATTAAAAATCTTCAGCTAAGTAACAGATTTTGTATGTATTGTAGATTCTTACATATTTAATATTGTACATATAAATGGCACTTCATTGACATAGGATGTGACACAGAAAGTTTATAGTTGAAGGTCCCCAGGGGATGCTATAAGCTGCTGGTCACAGACACAATGGTCAGCCTTGACTGAGCCTGTGGTAGGATTTGGGCCTAAGTTAAATTACTGGATATGAATGTGGGAGAGATGACAGAAGCCCAAGGGTGCAAACAGGAAAAAGGTCACAAACAACTGAACTCCATTACAAAAGTAAAACTAATCTCCAAAATGTAACTTACTTGCATTGGGGTTGCAGCACTATTTCTTGTTATAGTGGGAGCTGATTGCAACCCAATGCATTTAGGTCACACACTGTTTTCCACTATAAAGGATTCTTGTGATCTTTTCTTTGAGAAGTTTTCACACCTTTACTATTGGCACTTTGATATTCAGCCAGGGAATGCCCTGTGGCTTGGGAGCTGCCTCCTCTCCGTCTCATGAAGATCTGTGTAGCTTTTGCTGAAATATACTCTGTTAACAATTGCCATTTTCCTTCTCTCACTGACGCTCATCAATGTTTCAGGGGTATAGGTTATAGTCATGTTTCATCTAAGGGCATAGGCAGACAAGGTGCTTTGGGTAAATCTGGTATCTTTTATTAGACCAACTCAAATAGTTGGAAAAACTCTTCTTTGCAAGCTTTTGGGTACAAGCATCCTTGGTCAGGGGATTTGTACCAGAAAGCTTGCAAAAAAGAATGTTTTCAACTATTTTAGTTGGCCTAATAAAAGATATCAGATTTACCCAAAACACCTTGTCTGCCTTATGCTCATTAAGCATTTTTTCCTTTTACAAAAATCTAGAAAATGTTATAGAAGAGAGCTACATTGCAAGGACACTAGAGAGGTTGAAAAATCAACTACTAAAAAGTTAGGAAGTGGCAGCCCTATAGTTTTCTGTACCGCTTCAAACTGGTTTGCAATTACAAGTTTACATATTAGTCTCCCTGGAGAACCCTCACCTTATTCAGTGCACAGATTGGTGTACAGAAATGTGGTACATCCATAGTAACTAATGTCCCATAGGAGGATGGATTACAAGTCATAAAGAACATTATCCACAATGATAACATTATTCCTCTTTCCATTGCACTCTTCTGCTTTGTCCTCACACATACCTATTTCAGATTTGGGGATTCCCCATACCTACAAACAAGTGGCACTGTTCTGGGCATATGTATGGCCCTCAGTATGTCACTATGTTTATGACTAACCATGAAGGTCACTTCCTCTGAAGTTGCCCTCTCATCTCCCTGGTATTTGTGAGGTGCAATGACATCTTAGTATTTGGACACACAGATGTCATTTGTGCAACACAGCCACATCACTGCTGGACCAAACAACATGGCTTATAACATTCACAGGCTTCTCTATCAAGATCAGATACGTTATCACCTGCTTGAAGTGCTGTCTGCTGCCTACATTGGATGGATGGGGTGATCTCTATGTGAAAGAATGCCGACACCAATCTGACATCAATTCCAGAAAGACACAAAAACCTGTGGCAGAACACCTGAGCCTTTCTGGATATTCCATCATTCTTCAACAACACTTTAAAAACCCATTTGAATGCAAAATTGCACAACAAGAAATTTCTGCAACTCACTTTTACCTCTCTCAGCAATGACCCCTCCTCTAATCCTTTCCTCCCCCTTTCCCTATCCTTTGTATTTAAAGTTACTTCATTCCTATGTAGCATCCCTGATCTTTGCAAGTCCATTTAGAGCGTCTCACAAAGTAGGCTGTTGCCTATTGTCACGGAGTGGGGCCTGCAAGCGGCCGTGATCCCACTAGCGCCCCCTTTCCATGGCAATTAGGAGATCTAGCACCCTCGGATTCTCGCCCGCCACGTCTTTGTTCTTATTTAAGGTAATATGGGAGGCTGCCTATGATCTCCTGCTATTTAAGGGTGACTT